CAGTTACACAACGTGTTTGTCAAGTTCTTCCTATACCTCAGGAAGTTTTAGACCGACTTAAAAAACCTAAACAACCAGTTGAAAACAAACCAAACTAAAATTTTTTACTGAGATGAAATGACCGAAGAAGTTGAAACGGTAGATTTGACACCACAAACAAAAAGTTCAGAACCATTGTCAAAACCTGTCAAAGAACTTACAGATGAAGAGAAAAATTCAATAATAGAAAGTGCCAGGTCTGGAAATACAAACCCTAACTATAAAGTCACTTTTCATAGAAATGGAACGGCTAGTATCTCAAAAAAGAAACAGACTCTCACAAATAAAATATTGAAGTCTGAAGGAGCTTTCGAGACAACAGATGGAAAAGTTTACTTCACTGACCAACAGTTCATTATAGAACATCTCATTGACTTAGAGTCGAAATATTCTAAACTTTACAACAAACACAAAAAGTTGAAAGGAAAACAAAAACAAATGGCATATGATATTTATGAAGATGTTGACAACACAACTGTTCCTGCAGGTGAAGTAAAGTCAGAGGAACCGAAAAGTGACGAAAAACCGATAGAAGAAGAGAAACCAAAAACTGAAGATAAACCAAAACCAAAGTTTAGTTTGGAAACTAAACCAAGTCAACCTTCATTAGCTGGTATGGGTTGGCGTCAAAGACTTATGGCAGCAGGTGGTTATGTAAAGTAAAGAAAAAAAATATTTTTTATTTTTATAAAAATGCCCCCATATAGAATGGATAGAAAGTCTGCTAGAATAAAAGCAGAGTTGCAAAGATATGGTTGGAGAGTTTCGAAGAATTTTAAATATAGGAAGGGAAGACCCATAAAAGTCTATGACAAACTGGCTGGTCTTCGCTACGAAATGGATTTGGAAACAGCACGTGCAAATTATCCAAACAGACTAGAGAGGTTAGAAGAAGAACGTCTTATGGACATGCCTTTCGATGTTAGTGAACCTCAAGTTGAAGGACACGACGGCTTTGCCAGATTCTACTGGAAACATGACGAACAATTGCATCCTTTGAGAAGGAAAAAAGGTAGTGCAGAGGATGGTCATGCTCCCATGGAAAGAACAAGATATGCATATGAAAAGTATCGTGAAGTTAGAAGTCAAATTACATCTGGTCGAACCTTTACAGTAAACTTTGACGAAGGAAAGAACAAAGAAGGCTTCATGGGTGTACTTGCTGCCATACAAGACGGAAATAAGAAAGGATACAATCTCAGATTGACCATAACAGATTTGGATGGTCACATTTACTATGCAAATGGCAATGAACAAACAGCTGCAAAACTTCTTGACGCTTTCAAGACTACAAAGAGAGAACAAATGTTTGACTCCGACTCAGACATTTTGAATGCAATTGAAGGAATTGCAAGTGTCAAGTTCGAATGGTACCAACCTAACCCTCAAGCAGTCAGACAACATGCTGGATACTTCCCGTTCATAAATAAGTCTGACATTGACTTGACAAGGTATGGAATTTACAATTCAATTGAAACAATTGTCAATGAACCTTGCATTCTTACATGTCTCAGGAACTCTGGTCTTGTTACAGATGAGAAGATGAAGTATCTTGAGTCATGTGTGAAGACAAGGTACATTCTCAGAGGTCAATTGGCAAAAATTGCACCGTTGGCAAATGTCAATATCCGAGTCAACATACCTACAGCTAAAGGTTCTTCACATGACGACTATGTTGTTGACAAAGACTTACCATGGTTGAAGATTGTAATTGTCCACAACCACTTCATGTTGAACGAAAGTCTTACAAACCCATTGTTCGGAAAAGGCAAGTGCAACATTGTCAGAGCTGTAAACATTCTTTTCGAGAAAGGTTTGTTGGAACCAATTCCAGATGACAAGCTGACAGAAACTTTTGTACCAAAAGACGAAACAAACTTTTCACTGTTAGCAAGACCAAAAGTTGTTCCAGACAAAGTTCTAGTACAAAAGAAGTACACAATTCCACAAGGAGTTGGATTGTTCGGATACCAACCTGAACCAGAAGAACTTCCAATGAGGTTGCAAGAACTTCAAGATGCTATAAACAAACTTCCATTGAGACATCCAATTGACGTCAAATTGTATTGGAGAGCATCTGAGTTAGGTCAGAAGGTTTTATATGAAACAGGTTGCTTCGACGATGTTTATGAGATAACAGGAGAAGTTTCTCAGAAGATAAGAGACTCACTTGAATTTCCACAAACTGGACCAATTGGTTGTGACAAGTTCGACTCAGATGAAAAGATATACTATGTCGACCTTAACGCTGCATACATGAGGTTTGTCCAATATATTCCGACTGGAATTCCAAACGAAGATGGTGAGTTCCCGGGAAGGAACTATACAGTTGGAAAAGTCATACAACAACTGTATGATATTAGGAAAGCTTCAAACCCCAAACTTGCAATGACACTCAAATTGCTTATGAATTCGACATGGGGATATTCCATTAAGAAACCTCAAGAGATGAAGAGTAAACATTATGAGAAGGTCGACAACTTTGTTGAAAGGTTTTCTCCTTTTGTTTTGAAGTACGAATTCACTCAAGGTCAAAGTGGCTTAGTAACCACATTAAAACCTATTGTCGAACATTGGTCTTACCCTCAGTTCGCAAAAGCAGTCCTTGACAACTACAACAAATTCTTCTCCGAAGTCAAATCCAAAGTCAAGGTTTACTATGAGAACATTGACGCACTCATGACGAACGAAGAAGGGTACAACAAACTCATTGAAATGGGCATGGTCGGTGAAAAGATGGGTCAATTCAAATTGGACAAAATTTTCACCGAAGTTCATGTCCTCTCCAAGCGTAAGTACTGGGGCATACTTGAAGACGGCACAGAAATAAAACATTGCATGAAATAAAAAATTTTTATTCGAATTTGAATTAAAATGTGGGAATTCTTGGGAACGGGAAAGGCTTATTTACTTGAGGAACAGGTAAAGGTGGTGGAGGTGGAGGTGGTGGCAACCAGTCCATTTTATATTCCTTCCTAGCTAATTTCCGTTTAATTTCATGGTCGCCCTCGGAGTCTTTGAATCGGACAGGTCGAGTTACACCATTCTTGGTCTCAAACTCATATATAACCTGTTTGTCTGTATTTTCATCGACTATGGCACGAGACATAAACATTGACCAAACGGACAAAAAGTGTCATTTCGGATGGTCACGCAGCCAATCGCATTCGAGCACTTCGAAGAAGCCTTACGTTCCAAGGGAGAGGGTGTCTGGTGCAAGGCAGAGGTCATGAAACTCTACGAGCAGTACATCCTCAATGCCTGGGAGGACAAATCGTCCTTGGATTGGCAATTCTACCAACTCCTCTGGGACGACCTCCTACGCAACTGGGATAACGAAAGAGCCCAATTCAAAGGTCGGGAACTAATTTTGCAAATTACCCTTAATTTAACATACTTATCCAAATAAACACCTAAATTTACTTGGGGTTTCCCCCTAAAATAAAATTTTTTTACTCTTAGAACCACTCGAGGTTCTCCTTACGGTTGTTGAGCTTGTCACCGTCAATGTGTCTGACCTTCGTCTTCTTGCCTGGATTTGGAACCCATTGAATTGCGACAAGCTTGCCCATGGAAACTGAACCGTAATTCCGAAGGTTAAGGTTCAAGTGTCCCAAGTTGTTGAGGACTGGGGTAAGAACCTTACCTGTCGCCTTGTTGCGGATTTTGTATGGGTAGGGTTGGGAAATTTCGTAAGCGTCATCGACAACAAGGGTTGACCAAACTTCCTTTTCTTCGTGTTTCTCTTCTTCTTCTTCTTCTTCTTCCTCTTCTTCCTCTTCTTTGATAATACCTTCGGCAATTCTGTGTTCACGAAGTACGGTGTTGCATGTTCTGTCCTTTCCGAGTACCTTCCAGATGGCGTCTATCTCTTCGAAGAAACGGTAGATGAGTCGGGCAAGGTTTTGGTTCTCTATGTTGTATTGGCGCAAGGTTTCCGCGAAATCGTTCAGGACTTTCTTATTGGAAGCTTGGTTCGTGAGGACTTCGACTTTGAGATTGGTTATCTCTTCCATAAGACTACTTTGGAGAGTCTTAATGGTGTTTGACAGATGAGCGTTCAATTGGGCAATTTGAATTTGAACTGGGCGCTTTTCTGGCAACCTTGAAAGGACATCTGCCATTGAGTTTGGCTTCGGTGCTTGTTCGGACATCGAAAAAATGAAGTGGTTTGAGAATGGCGGTTTTACTTCAAAAAGCTTGTTATGACAGTTATGTCATACAACAAGTTTAAAATAATATCTTGTTCTTCTTCTGAACGTTTGTTGTCTCTTCCGATAAAAGTTTGGAACATGAGAACCAAAAAACGTTTTTTGAGGAACCGAAAGAGTTCAGGCAAACGTTCATATTCCGGATATGTTGAGAGCAGTTCGAAACATCTGAGCTGACTTTCGGACAAAATTGGGACAATGTCAACAAATTCATCTTTGGTCGGACTGCTTGAAGGTAAGTCCCTTACATGTAAGTAGCTCTGGTAAAGTCTTCTCATTTCTGCTAACTTTTGGAGTATAGCTTCGTAGTTTAGAAGTTTTAATTTTAATTGTCTTATTCCACTCTTGACATCTAAACGGTAACTATCCATGAGGTCAAGAGTAGCTTTGGTAGCTTTAAGTGGAGCTATCTGTTCCTTGACCTCTGCAATTTTGGTTGCAATTGTGATTTGAGCTCCTTTAAGTTCGCCGTCTATGTCGTTCTCAACGTCTTCAACGATGGCTTGAAACTCTTCATCGGTCCATTGAGATTGGTGTGGGACGAATTTAACTTGCTTCATTCAAAAAATGAAAAAAAAATGTTTTTACTCTAAACGTTAAGGTTTACAGTACTGGTTGGATGTCGCCTTCTGAGGTTATGAAGAACGGCCGTCCTGAGAAGTGGAAACAGTGCTCTGAGAATTTGTATAATTCGTGGAATTGGACTCTCTCTGTTTGGAAGTTGTATCCATGGGCGCTTTGCAAAGAACTTGAGAAGAGCTTCTTTCTTCATCTCCTTTATGTCGTCTACAGGAGTGTTTTCTGGTATTTGAATTGGAATTCCGGTTTCAATTTCGATTTTCAGCGCACCTCTTCCAGACAACCAGCAGCCGAGGGACTTGTTGGCTTTGTCCTTGCCCAAGTACTGCTTAACAACTTCATTTATCTCTATAAGGTAAATTGCCTCATCTAATGGCTCGATGTTGTCCATTGTTCTGTTTCAGAACTAGTCTTGTACTTTTTCAGAACAATACTTGTACTGTTTCAGAACTAGTCTTGTACTGTTTCAGAACAATACTTGTACTTTTTCAGAACAATACTTGTCCTTTTTCAGAACAAATTTCCCGTAAAAGCTCTCAATTTGTGAGAAAAATTTTCTGTTTCAGAACAATACTTGTACTTTTTCAGAACAATACTTGTACTTTTTCAGAACAATACTTGTACTGCTTCAGAACAATACTTGTACTTTTTCAGAACAATACTTGCACTGCTTCAGAACAATACTTGTACTTTTTCAGAACAATACTTGTACTGTTTCAGAACTAGTCTTGTACTGTTTCAGAACAATGTCCGACGTACCACCAACCCAGTCCATTCCCAAACCAGAGGAACCTAAAGCACCAGCCCCTGCACCTCAGTTCCAGCAAGTACCTCCGATTTACTACCAATTTCCACCTCAAGGTTACTACCCACCACAAGGCTTCCCGAACTACCCTCCTCAGCCTATGCCTTACTTCCCCAACCCTTGGATGTTTATGCAAAACCCTGCCCCACAATTCCAATCTCAATCCAAGAGAGACCAAGAGTTCGAGGAAGGTCTGAACCGCTTACGTAAAGAGTATGCTACTACCCCAATGGAAGAAGACAGGCTCTCACTCTCTTCCCTCAAATCGACCGATTCGACTCGTACCACAGATTCGGTTCGTGACCGTGAAGACTACCTCAAGCAGTCTGAGAGACTCTTCATCCTACAACCATTTACAGTTGGAGCTCTCAAGAACATGCGCAATTACGAAGGTCAGACACCAGCTGGAGACCGCAAAACAGACATACTCACAAGAGCCGTCCAACTGGTCAAGACAAAGACTGAGATAGTCGACTTCATTCTTGCAGCTTGCCCATACAAGTAAAAAAAATAAACAATTACGAGTTAAACTTTTTATTCTTTCTTTTCTGAGTTGTTTAGAGCTGGTTTCTCTTGTAGGAACCTTTCGTACTCTTCCATGGTCATGTAATTGCGAATTTTGTACGCAATTCCAGGTTCGTTGTTTTTGAACCTTACGTATGTAACGCTTCCATCCTCCTCAGGGAAGTAAGCTGCTAACATCTGACCAAGTTTTCTCGGTGACTCGGAGCTCATAAAAATGTCACTTTTTAAACGTTAAGTTTTTAGTCTTAATTTACCCTTTGTTTACCCTTTGTTTGTCAAGGTAGTATTGGAGTGCAATTTCTCCAAATTCTCTGTGTCGGAGTTCTTCAGCATTTTCCAAGGTGTACCTGGAGAACTCAAAGAAGTTGTCAAGAAGATACTGCCATGCTGCTCTTCTGAGTTCGTCGGTATTTTGGAAGTGTTGCACCTTCGAGTCTTCGGACATGAAAAAAATGACACTTTTTCATTTTATAACTGTTATTTTTGACGAAGTTGCTGAAAAATACATGTAAAGCGTTTATTTTTGGTCTTTTGTGAAAGTCAGAAAATAAAGTTAGTGTCATTTTTTTGTATTTTTATGTATGTAAGATATGATTTCAGGGATTTTTTTGACGAAGTGTCAATGTTCACTTCGTCAAAAAATAACAGTTATCTAATGAAAAAGTGTCATTTTTTTGTATTTTTTTGTATGTAAGATATGATTTCAGGGATTTTTTTGACGAAGTGTCAATGTTCACTTCGTCAAAAAATAACGCTTACCATGTAAAACGGTTGTGAAAAAAACAGGTTAGAAAGGAGGTTAGATCTAACCTTCTACCCTAAATTATATTTTTGCTGAATTCCGTACGAAAACAGTGAAGAACAGCGAGTAGGTAAGAAACCTTAGTCGCCAAAACTCTATGAAAACAGTGAAGAACAGCGAGACCGACTTTTATCTAGGTCGCCAAAACTCTATGAAAATCATGAGTTTCCTTAAGACAGAAAAAATAAAGTTAGTTTTATTTTTATTTATTTTTTTATTTTGTATGTAAGGACAGATATGTCAACAACAGAGAACACAACAACTGCTATCGTTCATGAAGCCATAAATGAAGAATATGAGTACATACAGTTTAACAAACAACTCCGTCTCATTCGTTCGGTCAAAGACGATATGTACCAGATGCAAAGTATTTTGACAGCATGTTTTGCTCCAGATACTAAACACGCAGACGACTAGTTCAAAAACCAAAGCACACAAGAACTTTTGAGTGAAATTTCTCTAGACCGACTTTTTTCGGCCATGCATAAAACACATGAAAATCGTAAAAATTTGCCAATAAATTTAAGAGGATATTATGTACATAGACTTTTAGTAAATGCAGTTGCAATGTGGGCTTCTCCTCGTTATGCATGGCATGTTTACAGACTTCTTGACGAAATTCATAGACAAGAACGTGAAGAGATGGAAAAGAAACTTCAAGCAAAAGATGAAGTCATTGAAGCAAAAGATGAAGTCATTGAAGCAAAAGACAAAAACATTCAGAAAAGAATACCACGTTCGGTACCAAAAGGAAAGGAAAAGAACTATAAGTATATGATTTATACTGAAGAGTTGGAGAAAGAAGAAGATAAAGATATGGTTATGTTGCATTTAGTCAGAAGAAACAACAAAAGCTTTTACGACCTTGCTAAGATTTACAAATCTGACAGAAATTGGTTCTATCGCGAAAACTTACCGATTTCAATGACACCGAATGAAGATGTGAAACAAATAGTTCAAGATACGTTACCTCAAACACACTATGATATTAAAGGTTGTACAATACTTACATTCAAAGAAGATTTGTCATTGTTAAAGGAAAAAATAACAGAGTATTTTGACAACTTCAAACAAGCAGAGTAAATGAACTCTTTATTTTTCAAGCTTGACTTTTTACAATTTGAACTTTGTTTGCGTAGATATGAATTCTGAAAGAAGTATGAGGGTCTTGTATGACTTTATACTTCTCCCATAGTTCATATCTGTCAAACTTACCTGCCATGGACTCTTTCATAAGTTCCATGAAATCGTCTTCGGACAATCCGGGGAAAAGTATAATGTCAGTAAGTATTCTTTTAACATCCTTACTTAAACTCTTTGCTGTCTGTACACAAATGACAACTGAGATGTTAAAGTGTCTGAGCTTCTTAAGAATTCGACACATATCTTGTTCTCTATTCTTTAACAAAGGATGAGAAGCAAAGTCATCTAAGATAAGAAGACATCTATGAGGGTAAGTCTTCCAATCGTAAGATTGCAATTTCTTCGAAATGTATTCTATCTCTTTCTGTTTGTTTCTGAAGTGTTTCTTCTCTAATATTCTCTGCATTTCCTCATTAGGGTCTTTAAACTTCGAATTTATATACTCATTTATAGCATTATACTTCAAAACTCTTCTTTGGTACTTCTTTATCCAATCTAACAACTCAGAGTCTTTTATACATACTAACTTAGACTTCTTTATAATATCTTTGAACGAATTGACGGTTTGGTCAAATTGACCAGAAGTCGAACAAATGACTACTAACTCATAGAATGGGTTCTTCTCATCTAGTTCTTGTTGTTGTGCAGCCATTTTAAGATAAGTGAAAGTCTTACCCGACCCAGGTGGTGCAATTAGACCTGTTATACCATTCTGAGCAAATAAGAACTTGTCATGTATGGGTTTTATCTGAGCATTTTCTAACTTCCTCTTGTTCTTGTTTAAAACATTCTCAAATTTTTTGTCAATGTCAGCAAACTTTTTTTCTAACATATTTTTAGAAAAATTAAAATTTTTATCTTTTAGAAAATGTCTAGCGATTTCGCTATCTATATTCGAGACAAGCTTTTCGACAGCAAAACATCTGTCGACCATAAAATCTTACATAGTGTAAACAAGAAAGGTGAATTTGTTCTAAAGTTCTGTTTCTGGGAATATGACAAGAACCATAAAACATTAAGCAGAGCAGTCTTAAAATTTGTCAATGACAGACTTGTTGACAGAGATGACGCCTCTTGGAGAGATGAAGTCCAACAAAACTTCTTAGAATGCAAAGAAGACACATGCGCTGTTCTTGAAGATGAAATAGAAAACAGAATAGATGAGCTATTAAAGGACAAAGAACTTTTACATAAATATGGTTGCGCCAAATTTGACATAACTCCACCAGAGAAGAAGAAGAAGAGAGAAAAGAAAGAAAAGAAAGTAGAAGAAGAAAAGAAAGTAGAAGAAGAGAAGAAAGAACCTGAACCAGTTCCAGAGAAAAAGAAATTTGACATGTAAAAATAAAATTTTATTTTTAGAACATTTCTGGGTCAATGTCAATGTTCTCTTCCTCTTTAGGAGCAAACACTGGCTTAGACTCTAAAATCTTTTTACCCAATTTACCTTGAACTTCAACTATCTTAGACTCATAATATTCATAGTCGTCTGTCTTCTTTGGTTCATAAGGTATAACAAGTTTGTATGCTTTGCCTTCTTTAAGGTTTGAGAACCTTCTGTCAAAACTTTCTTTGACTGCTAACAAACCTTCTATGTCTAAGTCTTCAAATTTCGCACCATTTTTAGTCACAATAGCAAACTTAACTGGTTCGATGTTCCAAACTTTGCTGAATGAAGACTTTTCAAAATTGTAGAAGTAAACATTCAAATATGCGAATGGAGCTAACTTATCTTTGACTTCTGTCATGTACTTATTTACTGAGATGAATTTTGCCATCTTTTCTATCGGATAAAAAAAGATTTTTTTTTAAATTTACTCAGAAAAATTTTTCTTTGTATATACACCATTCTGAACATCTAAAAGACTTTTGACATTTGCCAAGAATGTTCGTTTAGAAGCTGCCATATAACCATATTCTTGACAATATTGTTTATACGAATCGTACAATGACCTTTCATCTAAACACTCAAAGTCAGTTTCATCTATGAACAGTTCATATACACTCTTGTTTGCTTCTAACAATGTTTGTCTCTCTTCGGTATGTGGAATTTGTCTTGGATTGAACTTAGAAATATCTAATGTCATAAAGTATGAGAACAAGTGGTTGTAAAAGTCAGATGTCAAAGTTTCTGCTAAGTCGTCAAAATATTCTGTATCTTGCATATGAGAATCTGACGTTCTGACAACTACATATCTTCTGTCAGAACTTTCTAACTTCATCGGAACAGTATTGTTTGAAACCATAATGAAGTTTGCAACATTTTCACAAACTCTTTGGTCTTTATACTTTCTTTCAACAACTCCAACTTTGTCTGTTATAAGACTCTTCAAAGCATCTGAGTTCAAAACTTTTGTTGTATCTATACTTTGAAGTTCATTGCAAACTATAAGTTTCATATTCTCTATTGAGGAGTTAAATTTACCGCAGATGTTTTCTAAGTTTGTCATATTCGGATTCGAATAACCTTCTAACAGTTTGCACAAGATATCTGTAAAGAATGTGTTCTTACCAGTTCCTTGTTTTCCAATTATAATGAGAGCAGTTTCATTTTTAGCACTTGGATGTTGTAAGATGTTTGCAAACCAACATAAGATATACTCATAAACCTTTTCGTTTCCATTGCATATAATTTCTTTGACATGGTCTAACCAAGCTTCTATAATATTTTCTTTCCATTCTACTTGTTCGTATTTATATCCAGTGAAGATAGAATAGAAGTTTGGAGAAGGTGTATAGAACTTTATACCTCGAACTGAAAAATCTTCTAACTTTGACAATAAGATATCCCAAGCATCTAACATCTTCATGCCAACTTGTACGACTTTTATTTTCTTAAGTTTCTGTCTACATTCTTGTTCAGACACTATTGTTGCTCTTGGTTTGTTAAAGACAACATCCCATTCTTTCATGACATAACATTCTGGAGCAGAGTCGACATAAATGACTAAACGTTTCAAATTTTCGACTGCTTTGTTATAGTCTCGAAATGGACACATATTTCTGAATGCTTGGAAGTCATAAAAATCTGAAACATCTATTCTGTACATTTTTATAAGAATAAAAAAAAATATTTTTTTTTATTCTTGACTTTGTTGTTGCATTTGTTGCATTTGTTGTTCTTGAGCTATTTGTTGTTGAAGTTGTTCTTGTAATACAATACTTTCACCAGTTGCATCTTCCAATTCGAAACTTTCTGCCGTCATTGACAAATACATAGGACATAAAAGTTTTACAGGAACAAAGTTTGCGTCAACTAATGTCAACGTTATACTTGCCAAAGTGTTTGAGTTCACTAAGGTTGAAAATTCTGCATTCGAATGAACAATAGGCAAACCAGCAGAGAAAGTATTGTTTATACGCATAAGTATCTTTTGGTCATAATAGTTTCTGTCGACATTCGAATAACACTTTGAACCTAAGTTTGAAACAATATATAAGATTGGTGTGCTTAATGTCAATGGAATAGACATTCCTTGTATGACACCTTTTCCTGTTATAGGAAACTGTTGGTAGTAAAAACCAGAAATAAGTTTTGTATTATAGCTCATATCGTTTATAGTAAACTCAGTCGGACATCCAAACATAATGAAACCTGCTCTAGTTGCAGCACATGTTACACCCGTCCTTAAAGTATTAAATAAGTCAACAAAACCTGTTGGTGGTATATCTGATAAGTATCTTCAAAGGAGTATTTTTTACCATTCACAACAATAAAGTCTTCTGGTGTCAAAAGAGCAAAACAGGCTTTAGTCGTCATTGTGTTTAAGGTTAGTTTACAATACCGTCCTTGAGGACTTTGTAAGTTTGTTGTTATAGAATTATATGACTCAGGGTTTTTAGTCGTAATAGTATAAACCATTATATCTTCTGCCATTTATATATATTTAAAAAGTTTTTCTGAAAGTGGAGAAGAACTTCATCTAAACTTTCACATGGCGTTTCTTGAAGTTCTCTGTCTAAGAAGTTCAAATATTTTGTAAAGACATAGAACTTTCCTTTGTCTACACGAACAAACAAAACAGGGTCTTTCATATCGTTCAAAAGTGTGTAAAGTCCTTTACATGAAATAAAGTCTATATTATTTTTCTTCAAACATCTTTCAAGAAGTTTTGACATTTTTACTTAGCAAAAATTTTAATGAAATGTTGTGGTCGTCAAATATTTTTATGACGTCTGGGAAACTATACTTTAAGTTCAACGTTTCACCTCCTTTTCATAACGTATATCTTGTCAATGACATGATATGAAACACCACAGCAACTAATGTCGGGTTCTATTTCTTTGATGTTTATATCGTCTGCCTCTGTCAAAAGTTTCATAGTTCTTTCAAAACTTCATGAGGTGCAATGACATATGAGTTCACTTTTACAGGGTTGTGTTCGACCAAGTTTAACATTATACTTAAGCTTGACAAATTTCTCCTGAGTTTGAAGTTTGTCTTTCAGTTGTTGGTAGTCGTTTCGAATATCTGCAACAGAACTTAAGTCTCTGCTAACTTCAGGATATGTTGGTTGTTCTTTTACAGGAACAATTGTTATACCATCTTCGTCTTCGTATGGTTTCCCCACTTCAACATCTCTGTCTTTGACATTGACAACAACACTTTGACTGTTTGTTTGAGTTGGTGAATTTAACTTCACATCTGCCACCGCCATTAAACCTTTTGAAACACTTACGCTTCTATTTTTCGGAAATGACATTTTACTTAGAATAAAAAGATGGACGTATTCGAGTATCTCTTCGAATTGAAGCAGAAAAAAGTTTACAACCACAAACAATACAAATACATTGACAGAATAGTTCTTTATACAAACAATGGTAAATGTTATAGAATAGCAGTCTTTGCTGAACCAAAATATTTTCATAAAGCAAAGAAAGTTGGTATAACTGAAATGGTGAAAGTTCTTGACGTTGACAAAAATATAACAACAAAACTTACAGATATTTCTAAAGGTAAGTTTATCTTACAATATTATGTCAAAACTGGCGTACTGTCAATATTTGACGGAGAGAAGTCAGTTCAAGAACAACTTACTGACCTGCTGCCAAAATCTGCTCGATGGAAGCTGTCGTTATGCCAATCTGAGGAGCCCCAGCAGGTTTCATCGAACGAATCTTCAAAAGAGCATCTTCCGTGAAAAGTGCTATTGGTTTTGTAAACTTCTTTGCTCTCAGTTCATCTGGACCGTCTCTGTCACCAGTATATTGTATTTGTACAGTACCAACAGTTGAAATACCACCCATAAAGTCTTCTGAGTCAGCAAATGGAATGCCAAGCCAAAAGTTTGAACGGTCTCCATTTGTATATTGAGTTTTTTGACCTCCTGTATGAGTCCATACTTTCACATATGGCATAATAGAACTTTGCATTTCAGGGTTAATGGTTGTTGTGAAGTTGTTGTTAAAGTTCATAGCATCTAATGTCAAGTTGTATGACCTCATATCCTCAACTGTAGAATATTCTTCTCTTGGATAATATTTGCCATCTATGTTTATATGATATTTAATACCGGGGTTGTAGAAACAAGAATAGTCATTTATAGTTCGTCTGAACAGTACAAACATAGTATCTGCATGTTTCATTGCAGTTGTTAAAGCAATATCTGTTCTTGCACCTGGGTCAGCACTTTGGTTTCCAACTTCACCTGCAAAGTCTTTGACAGATATTTGGTGTATAGGGAACATAAGTGGAACTGCAATATATTTGGCAGCTAAAGCATTTGAAATATCTGGGTCCAACATATAGACTGCAAGTCTGCTTTCTATTCTCTTGCATTCAAATTTTTCGCATGTGAACTTAACTGGGTCCCAAGCAGTTCCAGCAGCATTGAAATAATAGTTTACTTCATTGTTGAAGTTTGAGAAACCAAAGTCTAAGTCAACTTTGTCTTTGCAAAAGTCACAGAACTTGGCTCCACCAGTTCCAGCTACAGTAATGCTGAATGGGTCTTGTGTTGGTGCAATGACTAAGTTATTTTTGCTTGGAGTAAGTTCATAGAAATTTTTCCTGCCCAGTTTGGCAAGTATCTTAAAAACCTGAAGATGAGGAAAGATGACAAAGGAACTCTAAGTTTCAGTTTTACTTTAGTGGCAGCAGTTCCATCTGAACCAGAAAGGTTAACATAAACTCCTGGAACGTTAGGGTCAAGTCTTCTTATTTTCTCAATATTTGCATACTGGTCTGTTTGTTCTCTAGCTTGTGGTTGTACTGAGTTTCTCAAAGCGAACCATTCATAGTTTGCCCATGTTACTGTTTGAACTAAGTCAGAGTTAGAATATATCTTATATCCCATGAAAACTTCTGGAGCATATTGGTATCCGACATAGAAAATTCCATTGCAACCTTTCTTGTCAGACAACTTGGCAGAAGGTTTTATTTCAATGTCTTGTTCCACGTATAAGAATGAGTTGTCAATAGAAATAATATGAAACCTGTCGCAAGCAATATCTACTGTTGTTGAAGAACCTTCTCCAAACTCACCTACGTTTCCATAAGAAACAGCAGTTGTATATTCGTAAGTTCCAGGAACTATTTCTGACCTTCTAATGGCATTGTCGCATTCGTTATACCATTCGGAAACATTTCCGTTCATGGCATCCAAAACTGTTGGCGTTATATTCTGAGCGGCGTACATTTCATATGGGTAAAAATATAGAATAGTTGGATTTATATGTCATAATAGAACCCACTCGGACCAAGCTTTACTTTCTTCCTGACTGAGTTTTTAACTCTTCTTTTTCCTTCATTGCCACTACTTTCACTAGATGAAGTTACTTCTTCACTACTTTCACTTTGTTCTACTCTTCTTCTTTGGTGTCGCTTTTGGTAACTTGCCCTCTGCTTCAAGTTGTTGCATCTTTGCCTCATGTTCACCTAGTATGTTGTAAATTTCCCATGTCCTTTTTGCCTTTGGGCTCTGGTCGCCCATCTCAGGTAACCTATATCCTAGAAAGATTTTGTCATAGTTTGTATTTGAGTCTTCGCGTATTGTTTGCATGACTCTTTCCTGAGTTTCCGGTTCAAGCTCTTCAAACATAGCTTGTCCATATGGAATAAGCTCGTTTCCAAATATATGTTTTTGTAGCCATTCTGGTTTTCTTTCCATGTTACCAATAATATCTTTTGTGAATGGGAAAGCTTTTACCCAATGTTTCAGTCTTGCGTCATTTATTTCTGTAGTTGGTTTTATTTTGTCAAGGAACATGTTTTTCAATACTAACATTTCATTTGGTACTGTCCATT